TGTTTTTTAATTGTGTGTGCCCTAGTTAATAATCCCAAAATATACTAGGATCACTAGCAAACAGGAAAGTATCCATTTAGACATAGTCAAATCAGGGATTAGGAAGTGCTATCTTAACTTTCCTATAAGGAAGGATGGAATACAATATGTACCCTCTTTGTGCGAGGGTTCCTTTTGAACACATTGCTAGACGTGCTATTGCAATCAGAATTTCTTAGTGTTCATATTTATTGGGGAACATGATACAAGTTATCAGTGGGAGACCCACAGCCATTCCCTGCTACAGAGAAGGCAAGACGGTCCTTTGGCTTGTTGGCAACAACTATTTTGCAGAATAAATTGCTGTTTGTGTTTAACACCTGGGCTCAAAGAGAGCCGGTGATTACTTTTGAGCCACGGTAACTATTAAGCTAGCTTGACTCTCCTGATCCAGCACGGTGCCTTGCCTATCCCAGGTGCTTACTCAATGCCTGCTGACTGGACAGGATTTGAAAGAGAAACACTGAGACCTTCAGGTACGACAGGAAGCTGTCCCAAGAGGCAACTATGCAGCTGGGAGACAGTGCTGCAGTTTTTCCAGGACCTCAGTTGCCAGGTTCCCAGGATATAATCAGAGTATTGGAAACTACATTGAGCTGATGTTGGGTGGTGGTTTTGTCTGTCCCGTTTCTGTTTTAGGCAAATTGAGTCTTTGATAGAGACCTGGCTGGTAGAGACCTTTCAGATGTTTTGTCCCTTAGAGGAATGTGGCTCCTCGGGGACTTCGGTGAATTGCTTTGCCTAACAAGGCAGGTTGTGTGTTACCTTGCACCATGCCAGGCTTCCTTTAGTTGGTTGGATCACTGAAGCAGAGAGAGGTGCCCTTTAGCCGCCAGGAATCCTAAGAGAGCCAGGAAGTCAAAGCTGCTGAAGAAGCCTGAGGTTGGCAGGGAGTGTGGAGAGTAACCATTCCTGCTGGGGCTGTTTACTCTGCCACCCTAAGGCTGGTGGACACTGGGCGTGGTGGGCGTGCTTGTCTAAGTACTTGTTTGTGGAACACTGAGACACCAGGGCAGAGCTAAAACAGCAGTAATCTGAAACCAGTCGCGTTGGTTTTCCTTCTCTGGCCTCAGCAGCTAAAATCTGCATTCCAGATGAAACCTGCAGGGAAGCGGAAGAAAGCACTTAAAAAAAAAAAAAAGCTTCAAGGGCAGTAAATTAACTGCTTTTGAGTTTTAGGGATTTTGAGATGATCTAGTTCTTTCTTTACTTTTATTTCTTTGCTTTGGCTTTGTGAGTGGCTGTTGATCTGTGTGCACTGCTAGTTTTTTGTGTGTGGTTTTTGTTTGTTTGTTTGTTTGTTTGTTTGTTTTGTTTTGGCCTGGATGACACAGGCTTCTGACCATAATTTAGATGGCAAAGGAGGGCCCGTAAAAAGTATTTCAGTCATTTTCTGCTGATTCACTTTTGAACGTCTTGGGCTGCTGGGGTGGTGGAGGGCTGTCAGGAGCAGCTTGCCGGCTCAGCACTTTCTGGAACCTCACTTGCTCACCAATGAGGAAGTTGAAAGCAACCAGGAGAAAGACAGGCACTGGGGCGGAGCTGTGGTGAAGTCCTGGGCTGGGATGACTGGGGCCGGCTGACTTTCCTTATGACAAAAAGCCTTTTGTCCACGGAAATAAATACGGAAGTCCCAGAGGAGCAGCCTCCCAGCCCGCGAGTAGTAAGGTGCGCAGCCCAGGCAGCTTCTGGGCATAGAGCTCCGCGGACTTTTTACAGTGGCCCTGGGCGCACCGTGGCCGCACAGACCGGAAGGGGAGCACAGTGACCGACCTGAAAGAGACCAAGTGTGCTGCTGGGCGGCCGAGGAGCTGGCTGCCGGTCCTGTTGCTCCCGTCCTGTAAGTTAAGAGCTGATGGAGTGGATACACTGAGAGCAGGGCAGGTAACAGAAGTCGGGACTGCCATCGAGGGCGCTGCTGTGAGGCATGGAGGACGTCGGTGACCCTGTGAATGGCAGTGATGTCTCGCAACCAGACAAGTCTGAAGCGGGACCCGAAATGGCCCAGTCGATCCTGAGCAAGTTCTCTATGAAATCCCTCTTTGGGTTTGCGAGTAAATTGGAATCTGTGAAGCCCGAGGAGGAAGACGTGGTGCTGCAAGCATTCCACGCTTTAGGGGTGGATCCCACGCATCGGCTGGATGGTCCCAGCCAGGGCTCGGATGAGCAGGAGGCAGGGGCTCAGGTTGCACCGGGCCTCGAAGGAGATGATGGGAAGACTGCGAGGGAGGAGGCAGGGAGGGAGTCGGAGGGAGGTCAGGGAAAAGCAGAGGCAGGGACTTCTCTCCCTGGTCAAGAGCTTCTTCCACTCACTGCCCTGAGTGTGAGCGGAGACGATGCCATCTTGGTTCGCGGGACCCTGGTGACCACCACCAGTGATTCGGACTCTGAGGATGGTGGCCAGGAGCCAGAAGAGGGAAGCAACACCAATGGCCCAAAGTCCCCAAGTGTTGTTTTATCCGAGCCATCTGAGGAGCCCAAAGAAAAGCCAGGAGACCGTAGAGAGAACACTGCTGCTGGGGAGAGGGATGCTGCAGAGCTCGGAGAGGAAGGTCCTCAGGGGGCTCCCCCTGAGACATGTAGCAAACCGGAACCTGCTGATGGTGGTCTTCAGACAGAGCACAGCCCCAGTCAAGGACAGGCTGGGGAAGAAGGTTCCCAAGTTCTCCCTGTGGGAACAGACCAGACTTTGAGTGCTGGTGTCACCGAGAACACCTCTTCTAAAAAAGAAGCCCCTGGAGAGAAGTCATTCCAGCTGCCAGCTTTCTTTAGTGGGCTCCGCGTGCTGAAGAAGGGCGCTCCCGCTGAGGGTGGGGAGACCATCACCGAAATTAAACCAAAGGATGGGGACCTGGCTCTGCTCAAATTGACCCAGCCGGTTCAGAAGTCCCTAGCACAGACAGGGCCTCAGACAGGGAAGACTGGGGAGAAAGCCAGTGACCTGAAGGCCCCTCCCACTCTCCTGGAGCAGCTCTCCCAGCTCCTCAGCATCGACATGCCCAGGGCCGAAGTGAAGGCAGAAGACCCTGAGCCGACCCGGGGAGGAGAGATGGGCTGCAGCGCTGCCCAGGAGAGCCAGGGCGGCCCAGCAGAAGCCCAAACCCCGGGTGGAGAGGTCAAACCGAAGCCACCAGAAACCGCCCTGGAGGCCTTTAAAGCCTTGTTCATCCGTCCCCCCAAAAAGGGGACCACAGCTGACTCCTCTGAGCTGGAAGCTCTCAAGCGCAAGATGAGGCATGAGAAGGAGTCCCTAAGAGCTGTGTTTGAACGGTCCAAGGCAAGGCCAGCCGACGGCCCCTCGGATTCCAAAAGCGTATGTAGAATTGGGTTTTCCATTTTGTCATACAATGTGATGCTGCTGTATTTCTTTTGAGGTTTCCTGTCAAAGTGAATTCCGATCACCTATTATTAGTGACTGTCTTCTAGGTGAATGATGATTATTATTGAAATTGTCCTTGTAAGGAGTAGGACAGCAGCGTTTCCTTATGTTTTTATGGATTGGTATAAGAGAGGTGTATGTAATTATGTGCTGGTGGGAAAGGGAAGCTGCCACTCGGAGTTTAAACATTAATAGTAAATGTTCTTATAAAACTGAGCAGCATGAGGATGCGATGCAATATGGAAACAGCCCAGGTTTCCTCACCACTTAATTATATACCTCGGTGAAAAGTATTTTTCCTTTATATGTCTGCCACTCAGCAGAATACTTGTTTGTGATGTAATTGAAATGTTCTGGGTTGGTTACAAGGCATCCTGATTGAGCACTGCATTTAAAATGAGACCTGGATTTTAATTCTGACAATGCCATTTACTGTCTGGGTGACCCTGATCACCTCTGAGCCTCAATCTCCACATGAGGAGAAAAGAAAAAAAAAAGTGCTAACCCTCAACCTATATAGTGGTTGTGAAGATTAAGTGAAGGTAGTGTATGGTGACTATCTAATTAATAAAAACTGTTATGCAAAGAAAATTAATTAATTTGGTAATTTATAGACTACCTGTCCAGTAGATCTTAGAGGTTCATAAGGACAACGAATAGCACGTCTTGGGTTGTATCAACTCAGAATACAATTATTTCCTCTTATACAATTCATCAGTTAAAGTGTTAAAAATTAAAAAGTTTTTGGTAGAATTATCTTGGGTTTTAATTAAAAACTATACACAGTGTAACACTTGCATAGTTACAAAAATCAACGGATAAAAATAGCTTGAAGGCCATCTCACTATTATTTTTTTAATAGGAAAGAAAAAGCGAATTGAACTAGCAATGTGGGCTGCTTGAGAAGTGTATCTTGGCCTACAGCTAATGTTGATGGAAAGTGGAATAGTAGTCATTATATCATAAAAAACCATGGAGTTGTTTGGGATACACTTGTAAACATTCCTATAAGTGTACTTGATTAGAGTACATTTGTATCTATATCTACAGCTCAAAGTGGATTTGTGATTTTTTTAGAGATAGTTACATGATAAAAATCATCTATCAAGGGTTGTGTAATACTTGGCCTTTGAGGTGTGTGTTTTTTTAATTGAAGTATAATGAACATACAACGTTATATTAGTTTCAGGTATACAACATGATTTGACATTTGTATGTATTGTGAAACAATTAGCACAATAAGGCTCTTTACCCTCTATCCCCATGCGGAATTACAAAGTTCTTTTCATGTTATGAGAATATTTAAAATTTACCTTCTTAATAACTTCCAAATTTAAATTACAACACTATTGACTATAGTTACCATGCTGTACATTAATTACATCCCCATAGCCTTGAGTTGTTTTTTAAATTTTTCACTCCCACTGATCACTTTACATGTCTGGGAAAGGATCATTGAATACAATGTGCAACTGGCCATTATTTTATTCATGTTAGAGTTAACATGTTTGTTTTCGGGGAATAATTAGCTTTAGCCATATTTCATTTAACTGATCATTTTCTTTGCCCATTTTTTAAACAGCCTGAGCACAGCCCCACTGAGCAGGACGATAGGACTCCTGGCAGACTCCAAGCTGTCTGGCCACCCCCAAAGACAAAGGACACAGAAGAAAAAGTGGGATTGAAGTACACTGAAGCAGGTAATGTGAAAACAGGCCAGCCACCCAGGAATGGGTCTCCTGCTGCAATGGCTTTTAGTTTTAATTCAGGAGACTCTCAGAATTTGAGTTTTTGTTTTGTTATAAAATGTAGTGCTGAAGGCTTTTCTTTTTGGTTGCGCCTTTAAAGGGAACCCTTACACTCTTATCGTTAATGAATCTTTTTGAGATGAAAGGTGAATGCAGTGGAATGAATGAAGGGGGGCACAGGTGTAAAGTAAGAGACCCTTTGGGGAACTAATGGAGAAGGTAGATTACAAATTCCTCAGGAAGCAGGTGGTTGGCCCTCTATAATGTGTGAGCTGGCAGGGTTGCTGGAAGAGGCAGAGTATGGTTCTCCAGAGCTGTAATCTGATTTGCTATTTGTCTGTGACTAATGCTTTTCAGCTACAGGAACCTTGTGCAGAGTGAATGTACAGATCCCATATCAGTTACTCTTTCACTTTTGTTAGACAAAAGCTTTAGTTTGTGCGTGGCCATTTTTAAAGGAACCTAACTCTCTGGAAACCTTTCCAGGAGCTTTGCTTGAATATATTTAAATGGAGTGGAAATCTAGATATTTTTACTCTGTAAGTGAAAGGTTCACATGAAATTGTAAAAAGAAATGAAGGATGAGAGGATAGTATATCTTAATTGTATATGTGTGAGTGTAGGTGTCTCTAATGAATCCTATGTCATCCTAGCATTTGAAGATCACCTATGCATGCTTATATTCTGCTGGTGTCTTAGATATGTGTGCATATTAAGGTCAGTCTATCTGGTTATAAAAATGTACTTCAGTTGTACTCATAGGTAGACATAGTGGATCAAAGTTTAGGTGATTTAGTAATAGATGGGTTTTCTGCAGTATTGTAAAATTTCTTCAGTGATTGAGAACATATGAATTTCATTCAGCAACCTGATTGCTTTTAGCCTCCTTTTGCACAATTGCAAACTTCTGACCACCCCAAGGCATCAACTACTTCATAGCATTTTTTCCTGCAGTGCTTGACTTACAGAAAGAACATATATGTAGCTGTCCCAATGTTCTTACCTACGTTTGATTTTCCAAAATTGGAATGCTTTTGATTGCAATATTCAACCACATATCAAATTATTTTCCACATGATCTGGCATAGTCTGAACAATTATAAGTATTAAAGTTTGCTTTTAATGAAAAACCAGAATCCTATACGTTCTTATTCCTAGTTTATATTGGTGATGTTACTCTCATCCCTACCAATGCATCATGGCATCCTTCTTGTAACTGGCCATTAGTGTTAACTTTATTAATGATAGAGTTAATGTGTTTATTTTCAGGGAATAATTAGCCAAGTTCCATTTGGTAATAGAGAAGGAAATAAACCTCAGTGGTATTTGGGGGGTGTTTATACTTCTACAGAGATTCCTTAGGTTTCACTCTGTCTTCTTTTATTTCTGAAGCTCAGCGGAGCACCCTAATTTACCTCATATGTGGCTTTTCCAGTCTTTCTTATTTTCTTGTTTTAATGTAATGATCTATGTTCTGAGAGGTCTCTAAAGTTTTGGATGAGATGGGGAAAATGAGGATGAAGGGCCGAACAATGATAGTTCTCCTAGAAGGGCTCTGATGGCCCAATGACATCATGCGACAGAGAGAGGGTGGCAATTAAGGGAAGGCATGTAGGGCGGCCAGTTCCCATGAGTGACAGTACTGTGGCTTAATTACTGTGCTCCTAGGGCAGTGGTTCTCAACCTTCCTAATGCCGCGACCCTTTAATACAGTTCCTCATGTTGTGGTGATCCCCAACCATAAAATTATTTTCGCTGCTACTTCATAACTGTAATTTTGCTACTGTTATGAATCGTAATGTAAATATCTGATATGCAGGATGTATTTTCATTGTTACAAATTGAACATAATTAAAGCATAGTGATTAATCACAAAGACAATATGTAATTATATATGTGTTTTCCGATGGTCTTAGGTGACCCCTGTGAAAGGGTTGTTCAACCCCCAAAGGGGTCGCGACCCACAGGTTGAGAACCTCTGTCCTAGGGCTAGTGCTCAGGTTCTTGAAAGCCTTGGAGGTGCACAATACCTTGTGGACACACTTGGGGGATGGGGGGGTGGATATAAAAAAAGAATAAGATAGCCCACGCCTGAAGGAAACTCGTTTTTGACCCAGTACTCATGGTGCCTTGTCACTTACTGCTAATCTTGAGGAAGTTAACATTTTCCTTTTTATTGTCTCTGTTGTTAAGAAATAAGCATTTGGCTTATAACAATGCATTCTGTGGTATTTTCATTGATTTCCCCTGCCCTTAGGGAAACATACAAAATTTACCACTCTGTAGGAATCACAGAGACAGAAAAACTATATACAAAATATTTCAAAGTATTTGAAGTCTTACGCTTTTATACCTTCAGTGCTTTTATTTTTCTAGTGTGTATTATTCATTAAATGAGTGAAACAGGAGGTCAACACTCTAGCATTCATATTTCAGTTGTGCGATAGCAATTGTGAGCTGTTGATATCTGAGCCTAGTTCTTGGCAGAGATGGAAAAGAGATGATGTTTTTCATCATGAGTCTCACACTGTCCTTATGCTGCCCTTGGCCACTTCGGACTTGCCACTGCTTAGATTTCCCTCTATTCAGAGTTTATCGTTCAATGATCTTTTTTTTTTTTTTTTTTTTTTTTTTCCTGAGGGCTTAAGATAACACCTAATACTGTAAACTCACTTTGTTCAAGAATAAAAAGTAAAAGAGAGCTGATATCAGAGAAGCTGTCCCCTTAAACTACTGCTTCTTGAATCCTCTTCGTCACAGGAGGGTAGCTAGCCACTGTTGCTGGTGCCCACTGCCAAGGATCCTCTCTCTTGTCATTTCCAAGGCCGTCAGCATCATCTGTAGCTGCTGATGACACTGTGACTACCTTGGCAGCTAAAGCCTTTGGCTTCCATTAGAGCCTCTGGTGCCATTTTGATGACATTGTGCCCCCCATCAAGGGCAATTCTGCTGCCAATCTCTGAGCTCTTGGAGCCTTGGTGATGTGCCAGTTGAGAGAAACACCAGAACCTCCAGAGCTGTCACTCAGGGGACTCTCAGGTGCTAGAGCTGACCTCAACTACTCAGGGAGGACCCCGGTTGTGCCTGAATTGTTCTGCTCAAGGAGAGAGAATCCCTTTCTCCCATCTCTTGGGCTGTGCTTTCTTACATTCCTCCTTGTGTTTGGAATGCCTCACTGCAGTTTTGAGTGAAAAGAGAATCCCCCGCTTCCCTTTTCCTGGGACTTGAGCTGGAAACCACCTGAGTGACAGACCCCATATTCTTCTCCGAACCAGAGCTTGCTGTTAAAACAAGTTTGGGGCATCGTCTTACATTTTCAGAAGGAATTCCTTAGTGGACTTCTCACATCTTAAGGGTTAATCAATCCAATGTGAGTCCTTGCCACTTTCCTGTGGAGCCAATCAGAAATAGCAGTGAGCTTGTGAAGCTCGAGGCTAAGCAAAACCCAATCACAACAAAGTACAAAGGTGTTCTGTGGCACATACAAGGGGAACATGAGAGAAAAATGCCTACCTCTTAAATTTGTGGCAAAAGCAATTTGTCTCATGAGAAATAGATAACCAGTATTCTGTCCCTTTTCTAATACACTGTCCTGTATGTGCTGAGGTTATGTAAGGGTTAGTAACTTCCTTAGTCTTTAAAAACAAAAACCTAGAAAGCATAAGATACTCTTGGTATCATATAATCATTGAGTAATAAGAGTTAACATAGGGTTAAACTTTTTATCTCAAACTTGAATGAAAATAATGTATTAACCACCTTAGGTCAGATCTTTTGTGCAGTATAAAGGCACTTGGCCTTATTTTCTTTTCATTGTGTGTATTACTACATCAAGAGAGTTCTGTTGGGAATCAGGCAACATGCCAATTGGGTGACTTGATTGAGAGTTTATTAGAGAATATTTACAAAGGTGTGGGCAGCGTTTAGGAAACTCAACAAGAGATGAAGCAGTAGTTTGGGGCTGGTAATAGTGAGAAGTTTTAAAGTCCTAGACCTGAAGGGGCAAGTGTGGGAGAAGCTATTGGGAAACGCAGAACTTCAAAGGGAAGCTTAGTAGTATGGAAAACACTGCCTAACAGGTACCCAGCAGGGGACTTGGGACTTGGGTGGAGGGCTGCAGTGATTTCCTGGGAGGGAGTGGAGTGGTGGGGGGCGGGGGGTACCTATACCCTGACCCTCTTCTGCTCTGTGGTTTCCCACCATCGCTTCATTGGCCTGCATGGACAGGATTGGCACATACAACATTACCCCTGACCACACAGGTCTTCTACAATGGCATGAAGAAAAACTCCTGTTTTGTTTTTTTTTTTATCATCCTGTGGAAGCATTATGTTTTCTGCTCCAGTCAGTTCATAGGAAATACAATGGCCATCATTCAGAGCCTTGCTCTGTGGATATCTACTTCTCCTTAATGTAGAGGCTTTGTTTTCTGATCTCAGAAAATCTTCCGCCGCCATCTAGGAACATTCTCTTTCAAAAGTCTTAAATGTTTTTGTATATTGCAAAATAATATTTTGGAAATATCCTGAAATATCAGAAAGCAAAAGAAACTTTCTATTATCCTGTTCCATAGAGAAACCATTGCCCACCTTATGCACCATGATAGGCCAATGTGAATTTAAGGCTTAAAATTTTGTTTGATCACACTCTGCAGGCTGCTTTTTTCACTTGAAAACTTGACTATTTTTTAGTGACTTTTGTTACATTTTAACAAAATTCCTTATAGTGGAATTGCTAAATATAAGGGCATATGCCTTTTTAAGGTTTTGATGCATATTAATAAATAGCCAAAGTTATGTTTTCATACTGAATATCTTTAGATAAAAACTAATATTTTTAGAACACTGAAAATAATTTATTTCCTTTATCATTTGCCTTTAATTTTAATTGTAATTTCTGGGGTACATAAGTTTTAAATATTTATGTAGTCATATATTCTCATTTTATTATAT